TCCAGCTGTCTCTCCTCTACCTTAGATTATATCAAGGTTGTCCAATGGGGGGGATTGATTGATAAAAATTAAGCAGGACCACCGAACGACCAACATCACTTGGGAGTAATGGCCAGACCCCTTGTGCAGTGGGTCAGGCTTCTGATTACAAAATTGGGGCCTGGTCTTCCGGTGCACCGGGATGTTCCTGCAGGCTTCAGTGCCAGGGTAAGCGGGTGGGAGACCCTAAGGGTTGTACTTTGTATTCACACTCTCGGGGTAATGATGAATGAGTGGTCATTAGAGTGCATCCTCTACGGGCATATTGGCTCAGGTATGATGTGTTGCGGGCTCTATGGGGTGGATTCGTATTAAGCATGTCACTCAGCAAGGGGGCAGGTGGGAATGGCGGGCGATCACAGCATATCACTTAGTTTAAAAAAAAAGGAAGTATTAATGCATGGTGCGCAATAACCTCAGCTGGTGAACATGGCACAATTTCATGTTGCTCTGCTTTGTAGATCGTGCTAACACTCCGGATAGAACCTCCAACCAGCAGTATTGCCCTACTATAAATTGTAAATTCTGGTGAAAGAAAATTAATAGCAGAAGATACAATCCAGCATCCTAGTCAACCTTCCTCCCACTTAACTTTAAACACCGTGGCTATTACCTAAACACCTCCTCCCAGATTTGCGATAACTCCTATATCCTTGTTGTGACACCCTCGTGGTCTGGTATATTCGATACCATATTCGCTTTTTCAGGGTGGAGGGTCTTGGGCTGGGGGGGGGGGCAGTATAGTGATGACATACCGGAGCTTCTTGACCTGTTTCAAGAGTAATCGAGACTTGAGAAGACTTCGTGAAAACAACAGTAAGAGTTCCTGTTTAAGGAGATCATCTTTACTACCTTCCATTGTCACTTCCACACATGGTTTTCCTACTTCCTCATGAAGTGGATTACCATTGTTTGATCCTGAGCAGGCTATATCTTAGGATGGGTAAAAAAATGAACACACATGCGAAAAGGGGATACCTCTTGTTCTCCGACATTTTCCTCTTGCTAACAACTTCTAGACTTGTACAATTCTCCCGCTTGCATTTCTTTGGGAGGTGATGCCAGTGTATTGATATCTCATTGACATCTACGCAAAATACCTGCCTTCTACCAGCCGCTTGATTTATTCTAGGATCAAACTATATTCACAATCTTCTCAGCCTAAAGTATCGTTTTCCAGACTGATTCACCGCCACTCCCTCTCGTCGATGGCCTTGCCAAAGGGCTGCTCAGCATTACATATGTGCAATTTCAAAAGAAACGTTTCCCACAATGTTACCCCCAGTGTTCCCAACGGGCTGCGCCACTGATAGGCCAGCCTATGGGCGGTAGGCTAGGCCAAGGCGGGCCGCTCTGGCAGTGAGCCTAGGCAGATATAGGCTGAACTCAACCAGCCTGCAGAAGCCTATCAGGGCTGGTAGGAGCATACAGGCCTGCAACTGGGATCTTTAGAGCTGATTGTTTTAAGAATGGCTCGATTCCACAAAATTTTTATTGTGGTTTATTATTTTATCTATATCCTCAGTTATTAGTTGAAGTATGATAACTACGCGATTACAGGTCCACAGCCAGCTCAACAAAGTCCAGGCAATCCACCTTCAGATTCTCCAACGCAGTCCTATCTCACAATACTTCCTTCTGATTCACTTTCTTCCGCAGTAATTCTATTCAATCCATCAGCAAATATGCCCGCTATGGTTGACCTAGCTCTATTAGACCTCGGTGATTTTTGTGAACCACGGGCAAATCCATATCAATACCCACACATAGGATCAGCGCCTAATACTATTAGTAATCTTACTGATACTCGTTCAATTCGACTCCAGTATTAACATGTGTGGAAATTTGCATTGGGACTATGTGACTTCCGGTTCATGCTGTAGCAACTCGGACAAGTTTAGTAGGGTGAAAGATGAGCCCAAGGGGGACCAAAGATCTGAAGAGATTGTAGGCCTGGCAATATAGGCCGGGCCAGCCTATAAAGTGGCGGGTACTTAGCCTATATGGCCTATAGCTGGGCCCAAGCTTTTCAAAGCCCGCAGGCTCCAGCCGGGCTAAATCCCCAATAGTCGTGGCAGGCCGGGCCCGGCTCTGGTTCAGCCTGGCCTACCCGGCCAGTTGGGAACACTGAGCGAGACAGCATTTCTTGGCCCGTAAGAGCCGGTCCACTCTGGGGTTTTTGCTAGCCAAGAAATACCATGCCTCGCTGAGGGCTCACACGATCTAGCACACCTTCCGGTGGGTCGCGGGGCCCTAGCGTCGTCTAGTACGGTGATTGTTATACTAGAATCACTTGATTTCTCATAGTCCTATGATCAATTCACGTAGTCAGCTCTTCAACCCCCCTCCTCCTGTTTCATCCTATCCTAGCACCCTGCCAATCCACCTTCTACTCTTCTGTGAAGTACAGTTGCCCCTAGTTAGTGAACCTAGACATAGTGAATCCCTGGCCATAATAAACAGCAAAAGCAGGAAAGTCTGGATCCCACCAGATTTTTCTTTGCTATAATGAAAAAAGGCCCTATAGTGTAGTGAACGGAAGGTAGGGAATGAATAGGGGTAGCATATTAGTCTAATGTATAATCATATGCCAGTGTGACCTTTGTAGATAATAGTATACTTGGTGTATAATGCCAGCAGTGTGGAAGTGCTTTTAGAAAGAGAGTTCTGTTGCATACCACCAGACCGGATAATAGCAGTCTGGTGCTCTGTGTCTACCGTCAATCCCGAAGGTTAAAGGGTGTTCTATCTTTGGGGTAATGAGGCATCGCTATTGGTCCCCATCGTTGTTTACCGTATGTATTGAACGCCAACATAAGAGCAGACAAGATCCAACTAGGCTGCCTGCCCTCCCTCAACCGAGTATTGAAGCTTTGAGGAAAGAGTCTACATCACCCACGCTATCTAATATTCTTGAGAATACGGGGAAGCGGTATTTCGAGACTCTTTATATTGCAAAAGTAAGGGATCAAACTGGGCTTGGGCCTTCGTATATTGACTAGCGGTGTTTGGGAGAGGCTGCTTGCCTACTTTGCGAAATCAACTCTGTCGCACGCTCGAGTTGCTATGCGTGGTGGCTCTTCGGAACATCCTACTTCACCTGGCAGAGAATTGATCATTTTCTTACAGAGCATGCTTCTTTCTTTTGAGAAAATAGACATCAAGTTCCGCAGTAGAATCCCCCAAATAGCTTTGGGAGAGAGGTTTCAGGAGAATGAAGTGCTACGTGCCGGCGAGGAAGAGTATGTGCAAGGTGCCTCATTTCAGGATAAATTGGTGCGGGCTGGTGACCAATGGTTGAAGGGGAGTCGAAGAGCTCAAAATTGGGGAGTATGCATGCGCCTATGACCGATTATTATTTTCCTACTAACTCATTGTAGAACTAAGTTACAAATCATTCTCCTATTTGAGATAATATCTTTACAACGAAACCAAGTTCAGCAACGAATGAAGATGGAAGCAAAGAGAGGGCCTCTAAAAAAAAGAAAAAGTCCGATGTATCTAATTATCCTCTGCTACTCGACTTACTAGGTAACCGCCCATGTATCTGGAGGTCTATTAGTTCAGTACCCGAAGGGGATAAAGAGTATGGCCACCTCAGGCACCTCTGTGTCAAGGCTGTGCTTGGTTTGTATAAACACTATTTATTCTGTAGTGGGGATGACGAACTAACAATGAAAGTTATACCTTTGAACTCCCGGAGAGATGCAAATCAATCAACAGGAAATGCGGGGATCAGTTAGCCCAGTTAACCGCCCACAGCAATAAGGAGGGATCCAGCCCAAATAAGGATAAACGAAAGCCTGAGAAGAAGGCGCCAGGATTCACTCGCTCGATCACTGCTCCAGCTGCTACTACCGTACTGCCACCAGAGAGGCAGGTGGGGGTATTTCGGCTGCGCTTGTCGCAGCTGATGCAATATCTGTGTCAAAAACCAACATGCGTGGAGGAACCTTGAATTCCAAAAGTTTTGTCAAAAGACAAGTAGAGATCAGCTCGAAAGTGGATGCAATCGATACCTGGAAAAGGCCAAACCGTGTTTCAGTTGCAGCTGATATTGTTGAGGATGCTGAAAAGGGACATACAGTTGGCTCCAATAGAAGTATAACACCCCTGACAATGAAGGTTATCCCCCCCGCTAACCCTCCGCAAGGGCCAAGAGGCATTCCCGGAAATCCTTTAGCAAATGTCCAAGTCATAGCGGCCCCGGAACGGAGGACAACAAAGCCCCAACTAAACCTACTCGAGGATGGGAGTGATACCGCACCACCACCACGGGATGACCCACCCGAAGTCGCAAATTCGGAAACATGATTCGATGTTGCAAGTACGCCGGTCCGCCCCTTACGAAGGCGGCGGATGATAGTAGAAGCCGGTGTCCCATCTAGCAGCCCCCCCCCCTTTGAGGCACCGTTGGCTACTCCGACAAGCAACGGCGGGCTCTACCGTTCCCTTTCCGGCTCTGTATTGGGCTCTAAACCTGGACCGACCCTTAGGCCCTCGCCCGATAGCGGTGTCAAATTGTTGGGTTCCATTCGCGAAAGCCGAACTCTACCGGCATGCACTCCTGGTGGAGATGAGGAAATCTCCATTTATGATAGTTTTTGTGGTGGAATGATGATTATGAACTGTAATGTATGATTCGTCTATTGTAGTTATGGGTGGCAGGTCTAAATGCGTTGTATTTGGGGTTTCCATGTTTTCTTCTTCTCGGTACAATGTCATTAGAGGGTCCACTGTCAAGAATAGCCAACACTTATATATACCGGTAGCGCAGATGCCGGTGGCCTGAGATATCTCATCAGATTTGGGGGAGTGGCCTGTGTAACACAAGTTTCGTACCATGCTTATTTTGGAATTGGGCTTCACGGCACACTTAACTATTGAAAGTTCTCAGCACCATTATGACATCTCCGTCATTGCTTGCAATGACGATGATATAAGGAGTTGAAAATTTATAGGAAATTTGTGGCTAGGACCATCAGGTCAACACTACTCCAGTTTTATATAACCCATGATTTTAGTTCAGCAAATAATTAATCGGTATCATATGAACAGTTGGGCACTCGGGAGCTATCTGAAATTGATTGTCTAATATGAAAAAACTACCCGATAGTATCATCCCTTTAACGAGATAAGTGACGACTCCGAAAGCTCACTAACTGAGGATTGCGTGGAGCAACAGCCTTGCTCGCTCTCGCTCTGGCTCTCGCTCTGGTCTCGCTCTGGTGTCGCTCTGGTCTCGCTCTGACCCTCGCTCTGGCCCTCGCTCTGGATCTCGCTCTCGCTCTGGCTCAGGCTCTGGTCTCGCTCTGGCTCTCGTTCTGGCTCTCGCTGTCGCTTCTCATACTCAATAATCCAGTTCTTCACCATCTTAGTCGAAAGTTCAAGCAAATTAAGTTGCTCTCTGAAGCTGCGCTTATCCCATCCATCTTTATCATTGTTTGCGCCCGGACCCGCAGCCTGATCAAAGATTTTTCTCAGCTTCGTATTCTCCCATTTCTCCCACCTCTCGAGGCGGAACTCATCAGTATCCCCGGGTTCCAAAGGCTCCGGTTGTTCCTCCATATCTTCTCCCTGTAGCATTTGAGGATAGGTGTCTTCCCAAGCTGGTACAGTGGTAATACACTCCCAATCGACGATCCCGGTTATCTCCAGTGTTGTGGGGTCAACCATGACATTTGAACGATTTAGGTCGTGGTGCCTCAGCACGAATCCCTTTTCTTGCATGCCGGTAGAGAAAAGGGAAGGGAGAATTTGCTGGAGCTGTTGGATGGTTTCCTCAATCTCTGGCACATCCGCGGCAAGATCATCTTCATCACTCTCCGAATCTCCGTCATTCGAATGCGCCTTTTGAACGCCAGCCGCACGTTTACCTAAACATGTCGTTACTTCATTGTAGCCAATCCATTTGATTTATGATACTTACGAGAAGTCAGCTCCAGGAGAAGTTTCTTATCCTCCAGTTCCACTTTCATTAATGCAAGTAAGTATGCTCGGTCGCTTAGATAAGGCCCGCGATCCCTCTCTATCAGTGGCTTCCTCTTTCCAGCGAAAATGAAAGAGTTTACTATCGGCCCGATCACAAAACCATTGTTATCAGTAGCCACAGCGACCTTCGAGTCCGCTTCGTTGAGCTCGGCATGCTGATACAAACTCCCGATGGCATCAAACCTGCACTGCCCACGGAGTTCCTTTGAGAATTGCCCCAAGCGCTCAACAACGATTGTCTTCCTCTCGAGGCTCAGATCGTGCCAGACCTCCCCCAGACATACTCCTGGGATTTTCTCCATAATGATCCATTCAAAGCCCAACTCATTTTCGGTCGTGCAATCGTAGGCGAATACCTCTGGAACTGGTAGTGAGGTACATTGCCGCAACAGTCGGAGAGTGGCGACCTCGCTGGCGGTCTTGTAGAACGGTTCGACCGGGAGCGTTGCGCGGAAGATGCAGGACTTCTGGTCCTTGATTGTGTCCGAGGAGCCCGTGATTAAATAGACTTTGTTAAACGCCCCTCCTGTGAGGAATTTTACAGAAAGGTCGTCCGCACTAAGATGTTGCCGTGACAGTGCCTCGATCGTAGCGATGTTCGGGGTTACCGCCCAAGCTGGCACAGGACCAAAAAGGTCGGACTCCCAACGAAGGCCGAAGGCCGAGGAAGGTTGAGGGGACTGTGTCGGCGTCATTTGTTGTTGGTGACAGTGAGCTAATGAAGTGGTGAAGAGGTTTTTGAGTTGGGGATGAAGCGCATTGAAGGAAGCCGACCTGAATCTTACATAAGGCTCTCAACCCAGCCCCTCAAAAACCCTTACCAGACCGGAACTAGCCGCGCTAAAATAGAAAATATGGGAGCGAATAGGAGCCAAGCGCTCAGGCGATTGAGCACGTGATTTTGACACACATCCTCAGCTTCCAAGTGTTAAGTTACAGCGTCTCCACATTGATATTGTCAATCGTTCTACCTCATTAACTCGAAAAATTGAGTACAGTATCTCCCGACAGCGTTCTAATCTCCACACCAACAGGGCTAACCCTCAGAAAGCCTAGCACTGTACTGAACCAAAAAAAGAATAGAGAAATTGCGAAAACCCCTACTTGTACGAGTAAAAGGCTATTAAACTAGGGTTGACACCATCACCCTATTCCTCTTTTGCCCAGTACTAGGCCCTACCGGGGTCCTGACGTCTTAACAGGGAGATTGGAACCCTGTCCAGAGATACTCAATTTTTTGAGTTAACGTGGTATCCTGATTGATATTGTCAAGGTTGCGATATTATTTTATCCAAATTGATATCGGCAAGGATGCGATATCGTTTTATCCACATTGATATTGTCAAAGATGTAATATTATTTTATCCATATTGATATTGTCAAGGATGCGATATCGATCGTTTTATCCACATTAATATCGTCAAGGATGCGATACAAGTATCATTTTATCCACATTGATGTTGTCAAGGATGTGATATTATTTTATCCATATTGATATTGTGAAGGGTGTGATAGCACTATAAGGATGTGAAAGTTGGGGCGCCGTCTTGAGTTTATATCTTCTATAAATCTCAGCTCTCTCTCTCCACCACTAACCATCCTTCGGAACTCCTATTACTGCTGCCTGAAAGCTCCAATACGTTTCCTACTCACTCCTCAAATATCTTATTTACCATGGGGAAAGCAAGTAAAGCACTCCAAGCTTTTATCGACAATATTCCGGATTCAAAACTGACGGGATTTCCGGAGGGTGCTGGAACGATTTACACTGATCAAGACTTCCGCCTGGATATGCAAGGCGTAAGTACCCTGAAGGGCTGTGAGTAGGCTTCGTTATAGGGCCCTGTTTTTGAGGAGCAGGTACAAAATAACCTAGGTTATTCCAAGTAACTGGGAAAAATATTGTCAAATTCAGACGATTTTTCAATCTGCAGTTAATAACCTGCTCCTGATGTCCCGTTTGTCAGGAGCTGGGTCCCGTAACGAAAGGCTAGCTGTGAGGAGAGGATGCTGATGACCAAACAGAAGACTACCAGCGGCGGATACAACCTCCAAATCCAAGTTAACAGGGGGACGAAAGTTACAACCCTTAAGCCTTTAGCTCCACAAACGGTAGCTGGACCAGTTATTGCTACGGGCACCGAAACTGCTAGTGTGATTCGGGCCAACTTCGTCGCCACTATGAAGATCTGACGTTTTCGGGACTCGTCCCTTTCCTCTATCCCACAGTCGCTTATTTGTACTTCTTGTTGGAATATGGTCTCCTCCGTACTCAATTTTATCCCACCTTATTATCCAGTTGTTTGATCTCTTTTCCCCCTACAGGTGGAAATTTCTTTCTCGTTTCTTTCTTGTTTTATTGAGAGAAAATTTTCTTCACCCCCGATGGAGATGAAAATTTTCCCTCACACAGGCACGGCATTGAAGGATGGAAGTCTCATGATAAAGGACCTGATCAGCTAGTTAAAAAACATTATGCGAACCTCGAACAAGAATCATTATTCAAGCGAATTCCCAAAACTCCATCCTATCTATTTGCCACCATTATATACTCAATTCCGCTTCTTACTCTGCGTGTTTTTCTTCACTGCTTGTTCAGCTCATCAACTGTTATTCTCTGTACTCCTGTAGCCCCATAAGATGCAATATACATGGGGGTTGTTGGACCGGGGCTGCTGCCAGATGGAGTAGGGGTCCGAGGGGTTGGGTGAAGGAGAAGTGTTGATTTTTAGTTAGGGTAGTGGTTGGGCAGATGAGCTATTAAATCCCGAAGAGCGTGCATAATTTTATGGAAAGGATATCGAATTTTATGCATAATAACTCATCCTCCCCAAAAAAATGTCGTGTTTTTCAGAACCACCACCAATGCTCTCGCCGAATCCCCCCAATCAACTGTGTGGGAGATGGAAGGTTTGTTCAGGGGATTTATGGGCCCTAGATAATCTTGATTATGGATTTACTCATCACATATTATTTAGGGTTTATGGCCTCCCACGGGCACCCGATTCTATACCTGACCGCCAATCTGGATGGGTTCGCATACACCAACTCAGGAGTGGGGCCGCCCCCTCCTGCCGCGGCTGTCCAATGCCCCGCCCCCGTGCTCAACTGCCCCGCCCCCCTGTGCTCAACTGCCCCGCTTCCCCGGCGGTCCAATGCTCTCACGTAATACAATGTCCCCACGAGAGAGAGCACCCCCGGGAGAGAAAACGCCTCCCCGAGCGAGAATTCCCCCCCGAGAAAGAATTCTCCACCCCCCCATCCAAGACACGAGAATTCTTTGGATGTAGACAGTGCGAGCACTACCATCAACAAAGTTGCTGGATTTTACCGGGAGTTTCCGGGGTTGATAGAGCGGGTGGTATCGCGGGGGGAGATGGGGGTAGAAGCGGAGGAGACGGTGGAGGTGGGGGAGGAGGTGGAGGAGCAGGAGGTGGTGGAGGTGGTTGAGGTGGTGGAGGAAGTGGAGAAGGCGGAGAAGGCAGGGAGGTATATGCGGAGGTAGGTGTGTGTGGGGGTTGGAGTGGGCGTGTGAGTGGGGATTGGTTGGACGAAGAGATAAGTGTGCGGTTGATGGTAGGGACGGAACTGGAGGAGGAGGAGGTAGGTGGTGGTGGTGGTGGTGGTAGGGGTGGAAGTGGAACTAGAGGTGGGGGAGGAAGGGGGACCAGTTCAGCGCCTGGATGGCAGAGTGGGAGTGCGGGTGGGAACGATGATGGGATAGAAGTTGAGATGATGTAGATTTGTATTGTCTTGTTTTTGTTCTTCTCTACCCGATGTTTTCTTTTTTTTCCCTTCGTTCCATTTTGCTCTTCTCTTCTGCTCTTCCTTTCTTCTCTCCTCCGCTCTCTCCCCCTCCTCCCAACCGGGTTGGCCAGTTGGATTGCTGGTTTCTGCATGTATTCGGCATCCAATCGCATGGTGGTTTGGCAGCTTCTGCCTGTTCTGTCTCGTTGGCTATCCTCACTGCTCTGTTTGCTTCATCAAGACATTCTATCATGCATGCTTGTGCTCGGCAATTTGTGAAGCACCGGTATCCGGACGCTTTGCCGCTAAACTAGGTATCCCAGGTACTAATCAATACCGGTACCAAGGTGTCCGAATACCCTCATAAATTGCCAGTCCAGATCAGCCCGTACTAGCCGGTTACCAGTAGAGGTCAACGGAACTTTTTCTATTTTTTCCCTCCTCATTCACTCTCCCGCACGGTACTAGTACAGTACCAGTACCAGTCCTCCCGCCCTCCTCCCCGGGATTCCCCCACGATAGCAATGCACTGTAGACTACCCGTGCCCACTCGCTCGTCGCTATACGATGACGCAGTTTGCAGTCCAGCCCGCCCAAACGATATAAGACAGCAGGCCTGTCGTTGCCTGGGCATGGTGCCAATACTGTAGGTTCCCATATATCCACAATCCACCCTACCCCCTGCGAGTACGGTTACCCATGCTGTGGCAGAGCACAAAATACTATCATCACATGCCAACCGTGCATGCGCCAATACCAAAAATCGTCTCCCATTTCCACTTCCGGTAAGTTTAAATCCGGTGTAACCGTGGCGGGGGGGGGAGAGAGGGCACCCCACCGCTACCAACACGCACTCTCACTCGGGATCGATCGGGGTATCATACGGTAACCCTGTGCTCACTCCCACAGGTCGATAGGAATTGGTATGACTAATAGGGTGCTAGACCAGATCTAGTAATTTATTCTGGAAAATACTACATTCCGCACTTAGTCTAATTTGAAGCATCATACAAATTACTATTGACCCGTCGATCACTACTAGGTTTGGGGGCGCGACTTCAACTCCGCCATGCGAGTAGATGGAGAAGAAGCACTCACTACGGTAATCTTGTGATTAACATAAGAGGGAAGTTACCTGGACCAAATAACAAGCCAAGCTTGGCCATGGGAGCGCCCCCTACTTACCCATACCCGAGTACATCACTACTATGAGTAAGCCCAGTTGATATAAAGTATCCTTATATTACTACTAATACACACCGGTACTCGATTAGAAGGAAAAAAACCCCGCCCGCCCTCAAAAAAAAAAACCTCCTACTCAGAGCCGACATATACTCACGGGGCCGGATTGCTCTGCCAGTTCCTATTTTGGGATCGCTCGTCCTCGGGTGTTTTAGCCACTACAATGCCTGCAACTATCATGGTTGCAGTATAGCTCCGAATGCTCCGAACCCCAACAACCAGGAGTACACCCACCACCATCTCAAGCTCGCCAACACCCCCCAACACCCCCAAATCCATGAAAGAACAGACAAAATATCCCTCCAGTGAGCTTGCTTGAAATGCCTTGCGGTCCGGGGTCTGCTTCTCATATTCCAATCCTGAAGAGAGCTGCGATATTGGCATTGAATTGGCATGCGGGGCTAAGTTTTAATGCCATAGCAACCAAAGTCAATGTTAATGAAGGTACAGCAAGACAGATTGTGAAAAGAGCAAAGGTAATAATCTATCAGGTTTCAAGATAGTTAGAGGTATCAGCTTGGGGTAGTAGCTAATCTTTCTGCTAGGAGCGAGCCTCTGATCAAAATGACTTTGATGATGTTTTAGCTTGCTTAGGAGATATACATGGTGGTGGTAAGAAAGCAAGATTCCCGATAGGCGGTGAGGAGAGTACTGCCTTAGCGGAACTCTCCCAGAAGGACGAAGAGCATTGGCAGATGCCATTTACCGATATTGCAAAGGAGCTAAATATCTATGCCGCCCGTTCTACCCTCGAGAAAGTCTTTCACAATCATCATAACCTGTTTCGAAGAAAGGCCACTCATAAGCCCTTTTTAACCCAAAGCCATATTGAGGCACGGTTGGCATTTGCGCATATGGCATTAAAGGTAGCAATGGAGCATATTGTGTTTACGGATGAAATGTGGGTAGAGTTTAACTCTACCTGAAGGCGTACCAACGTTACCAGAAAGCGAGGTGCTGATCCAAACGAGTGGGCACTACACGACAAGCAAGACGATCGAACTATACAGGTGATGTTTTGGGGTGCAATTTGCTTTGGCCACAAGGGACCTTGCCATGTCTGGGAAAAAGATACTATCGAAGACCAACAACACCACCGAGAAATCATCAATTACGAGAACGAGATTCGACGCGAACGGCAGGCATTGAATCAGGCACAGGCAGCAATTCCTGGAACTTGGCAGCACCAGGCTTTAAGTAAAATCAATGATGATATTGATCGGCAAAACATCAGAGAAGGGAGGCAAGGGCGGCGGAAGCGGCGGCGACGGGCTCCAGAACAAGAGTTTAAGGAGGAACAATTCCAGTACCGCAGCAAGGGTGGAGTGAATTGGGTTTCCTATCGTGACCGGGTACTAAATCCTCTTCTGTATCTATGGGTAGACGAGCTTCAGGCAAAGACTGGTATGCCACTTACGTATCTTGTCGAAGACAATGCGCCTTCACATCATACAGTTCAAAGAGTTGATCGTGAGCTACGCCTTGCAAAGGGTATTATTACCTTTGAATGGCCATCAAGATCCCCAGATCTTAACCAAATTGAACGGCTGTGGGATGACTGTAAGGATGAGATTTCGATATATCAGTTCACCGGGGCCAGCCAGGAAACAGTAGAGAGGGCAAAGGCTACCTTGGTTCAGGTTTGGCAAGACTTTCCACAGGAATTGATTGATCGGCGTTGTCTCAGTTTTCATGAAAAGCTTAATAGATGTATTATCCATGGTGGAAATAATAACTTTGATGGATAATATTTTGTATTTACATGTATAGTGTTTTCTCATTTTATGCAAATCCAATCCGAGTCCACATAGCCTATGTCACAGTTTAGTTTTAAGATATCCTGCACCATCTGACCATTACATCAATCGTGGCTATTCAGCCTATTTTATAGGCGAAAAAACCCGAGGATGCGCGATGTCGAAATAGGAACTGGCAGAGCAATCCGGCCCCGTGAGTACAGTGTAAAGGATAAAGGAGAAATCTCACCTACCCACCTAAGTATAAATACTAATCATACAGTACACTAACAAGCGACCCTGCCCCCTCTACCGATACTCCTACTCCACCCACCCAAGTACAAATAATAATCATACACTAACAAGCGACCTAGGCCCCCTCCACACCTACTCCTCCTATTATCTACCCCCTCCACCCCACCACTTCCGCCTCCCCCTCCACTACCTCCTCCTCCTCCAATTTCCACT